TGGCTCAAAACTGAAGCTCAGTTGAGGCTGACGTTGTTCTCAGTGTCTGTAGATTACTATTGTTTGCTGTTTTGTATGGTTTGGGCAATATCACTTGTTCCTTAGGTTCTGAATCTGCTTTTAGAATGTGCATTAACACTGGTTGTGGTTACCAGCTGATGTCCTGAAATGGTTTTGAGATGTTTTTCGTGAGCTTGCTTTGTATTTTATCACTATGGCAGATAATTTAAATTATCTGAGTTACTTAAAGTCCCCTTTCTCTTTCTTGCAGTCCCTACTGAGAAGTCCAGAAGTCGTGCAGTTCTTACAGAAACAACAGCAGCTGTTAAGTCAACAGGCTTTGGAGCAACGGCAGCAGCAGTTTCAAGGAGCACCTGGGTAATCAGAACAGATCAGTGACCTGCAAATGAGTCTGGTGCTGAAGGAGGATTAGGATGTGTATATTTTATTTAATTATAGAGAATCTCCATGTTAAAAGGAAGTGAGAAGTTGCTGCTGTTCTGTGTTTTATTTGTCTCTTCTTTGCACTTTTGAGGTTTTGAGCTGCTTGGGTGTCTGCAAACTTGTCAGCAAATCTGGAGGAGTCTATTTTTTGATTCTTTATAAAAAATCATTGTAATGTTTGTTTTTTTTTTAAGTGAAAATTTGTTTATATCAGTAATACTTAGCTGTGCACCCTTTTCCTACCAAAGTCTTCCACTAAATTAACATTTTTCTATGTAAAAGTTTAATGTTAAACAAGTCACTCTTTGATGACAATCATTGAAGGAAGTCGGTTACTTTCTATGGAAGTTGTGAAATAAAAAGTCCCCTTTGAGCCAGTCCCGTGGCATGACCTAACAGTAATTCCTCAGGGATATGAGAAGCTTATGTCCAGTAGAATCTTGCACTAAAGACAACGTGCCATCAAGAAGTCCAGCAGTGGCTCAGAAAAGTCCAAGCTGAGTGATCCTCCTGCCATATATTCATTATTTTCAAGTTGCGTAGGTTTGAAATGCTTCACTCTCTGTACAATGCACGTAAAGGAATTTGTGTTAAAAATCTCCAAAACAGAGAAACAGCAAAGTACTTTTAAGAAGATTTAGAGGTGGAACGTATGCAGTGGAGAGTTGGACCTTGTTTTGTGTAGTTATTTCTAAGGACCAACGTGTTACACATGAAATCATGTATCACAACTTATGTAAAATGAGCGATATTCTTATCTGTGAGTGAATAAGACTGGAGCTTTTAACTCAAATGCTTAAGGTTTTTAAGAGCAAATGCATCCAAAATGTAAAATGCAGTTGTGCATTTGTTTCCTTTTCATATTCTCTTCCAAAAAAATATAGTTAAAATTATTTGATCAAGACAACAGATACCAAATCAGCTCAAGTGCTGGAATTCTCAGGTTTTCAGCTGATTCAGATGAACTTAAAATTGATTTGGTTAAAATCCAAATGCTGTATTATGTAAATGTTGAATCCCAAATTTTGTCTTTAAATCAGAGTTTTGTATTAAACCACATTTCCTAACAGAGGTTGTCTGAATGGTGGAGATGCTTCTTAAAGTACTACTTGGATATTGCAGCTGTTTGATCTGCTGAATAATATCTGTTCAGGAGTGTTTGTTAGTGTTACACATTTTGTAAGCTGTGTTTTGTGTATGTATAGAAATTGTTCAGTAGGGATTTCTTGTATTTAGTATTGTGCAAGCTGTTCTTTTTTTAAAAGAGATCTAAAAAATTTGTACCAACAGCTCTGGACCAGTAAGTGTTTGAGTAAATCTGTGTCTTTTTTTTAAAGAAAACTATTTTTTTTGTTCTGTTCCATTTGTATGTTGCTTTGTTGTTTATTTCTATATTAAAATGACAAGCTCTAGGTAGGTGACATTAAAACCTCTGTTTTCCCAGACTCTTATGACATAGAAAGTTACTTTTGCTTCAAGCAAAATGAAATTACTGTTTTCAGTACATCAAAATACATGCAAAAACGTAATGGGCTGAAGTTAGAGGAGGAAGTATTTTGTTTTTATTTCAGATGGTCAAGGAGGAAGTATTTTGTTTTTATTTCAGATGGTCAGCTCATGAAAGCATTTAGGCACACAGCTCTGATTAAATGTTTTGAAAAGAATGAAGCAATTCCAGGTACCCAGTCTGGCCTTTACCAGTTTCAGTGGTAGTTGTTTTTCTTCTGTAGCTTTCCGATTTCTGTTCTTATTTTAACATAACGCTTGTTATTTTTAAATTCTCAAGAAGTTTGTTTCAGTTCTTCTTTTGCAAGGATATTTGTAATATTTGGAGTCCTTACCTGTATTTTTTTTTGTCTAATTGTACTCAAGTTATTTTTTCTACTTTTTACACTTTTTCTCTGATACATTTCTTAACAACTACTTGGAAAAATGATGAAGGTTTGATTTTCACTAACAAAATAGGAAAACACATTCTTTGTGTTTCTAGAAAATGTGCTTCCTTTAGCAGACAGAAAGATGTGCTGTACTGATGTCAGGCTTTTGCTGAAGAGAGCATAATTGTTCTTCTGCAACAAAATATTAATGGCCTGATTTGAAGTGACATCTGAGGTGTAAGTTGTTTTTTTTTTTTTTTTTTTTTTTTTTTTTTTGCATATTTTTAGGTTTCTAATACGAGTCCCTGGAATGAAAGGTAAAGTTCACCAGCAAGGTATGAGTCACTGTGAAATGTGTAGTTTCTATTAGTCTCACTGTAGAATTATATGGGTTGGAAAGGACCTCCAGTGGACTGTAGTTCAACTGCCCTCTGGAAATGGGTCCCCAGCCGAGTTTTGAACATGTCCAAGGGCAGAAATTTTGTAGCCTCTCTGTGGTGTTTGATCACCCTGGAGGTTTTTAAACAGAAAATTGTCTGTGAATTTAACTCCCTTCAGCATCCATTTATCCAGTCCATGCATCACGAGTTTGGGTATATGGATATTCCAGGATGTCAAGTCAAAGACCTTGCAAAAGTCAAAGTAAACATTGTTTGCTCCTCTCTTGTCCATGGAGCCAGGCATTGTGTTGTGGAAGGCATCCAGGTTGGTTGGCTGTCACTTGCCTATGGTAGTTTGTTGCTGGCTGTTCCTAGACCCTCTCTCATCCTGTATGGGCTTGGAAATGGCTTAGAGGAGGATTTGCCTCGTAGCCTTTCCAGGAATTGAGATGAGACAGCAGCGTGTAGTTTTCTAGATTCTCTTCCTTCCATCATTGAGGACAGGTGTAATCTTTTTCTAGAGATAAGGAACCTCCTCTGGTCACCATGACCTTTCAGAAATGGTTGAGTGAGGCCATGCAGTGATACTGTCCAGATCCTACAGCACCTGTGACTGCATCCCATCTGGTCTCAAGGACTTGTACTTGTCCTGAGTGGCATAAGCAGTTCCTAGCTGTGTCTTCCTCCCGTTTGGTTACTGCTTCACTCTTGGATGCTGCTAGCAGGCTTGAGGTATTGGGAGTGGAGAGGACAAGCCTTATCAGAGAAAACCCAGAGACAAGAAGCACTAGGTACTTTGGCCTCTGTGTCCTTTCACTAGGTATCCTGCCCCACTGAACAGCAGGCCGTTTTCACCAGGAACGGAAATACAGTGTGGAAGAGAAAATCAGTTTTGTGGCAGACCATGTATTTCTTAGAAGACAGCCAAATTCAGCAGATCTTGAGACCCGGGGGACCTTCCTATTGCAGCCTGGTAGATGTGAGTCTGCCTCTGGTCTGTGTTCTCAGGTTCAGCCATAGCTGAGACGTAGCACATATTTCTAACAGACAGATGGACCCACACACATAAAACTAGCATGTGTTGGCCAGACAGCTCAAAAGACAATGCACGTACCAGCACCCAAATAGTCACATAGCACTCACCCAGGCTTGTACAGCACAAATGGGTCCTCAGTCCTCCACAGCAGCTCGCACTGAACAGGGTTGCTGGAACATGCAGGCACATGCGATGAGTCTCTCCAGCAACTCAGCAGTGAATCCACCAGGCAGCCCCTAGATCTTGCCTGGGATGCATTGTTATTTGCAGAAATATGTAACTGTTTTAGAAACAATTATTTAGAGCTGCTAATTCTAGGAACTATGTTTTATCTAAATGTTTTCATTGGGCAGGTTCCTTTGACGCATTTAAGAGCTTCTATTTCAGTTGCTTCTCATACGCTAACCTAAATGTCTCAAGAACTCTGAAGTTAGCTTCAAGGCAAACTTGAAGCTGATGTGCATAGACATTGGGGTGGAAAAGGGACGCAGGGAGTGTTAAGACAATGCTGAATGAGTTACCTCAGGACAAATGAAACATGCTGAAGATCTGCATAGAGATGTGCATCTCAGCTGTCCTGCACTTGCAATGATGTGATACCAGTGCCTCACAGCCTGGTGTAGACATCAGCTGTGCTGATAACAGGGCTGTCCTGTTCAGGTAGTGTCAGAGGGGGCTCTCAGGGGGTGTGCTACCCTTGCAGTCTCTGCGTGGCTCCAAGACCATTACCTATCCAACTCCCACGCTTCTATTGTAGAACCCAAATTCTGAGTTTAAGGAAGGAAAAATCCTGACTTTTATAACCAAGAACCGTACGTTCTTACTCTACCTACCTTTTTCCTTAAGTGATTCTTGACCTGCACTACTACAAATCTGTCCTTCCAGTAATGCAGATCTACTGGCCCACAGCTAGAGCTTCTGTCACATGGCAGCATCACTACTACTCATTAAATGCCTGCCAGGGTCTGGGTGGGTTCATCTGAAAGTAAGCAGAACCACCCTCTTGCATCTTCACATCTACCACTGGAAAATTAATGAGGTATGCGTGTTATTACTGTAACAGGCAGATTTTATGCCATATTAATTTTCAATCTATTTTGTAGTGTTTAGCACCCCATTCTCATCCTCTTTCATAAGACATACTTACATGAATAAAGGCTTTCTAAAAGCTCTGTTTTCAAAAGTTACTGGTCATCAAACTGCTGAGGCCAATCTCTTTCAAAAAGGAGGAAAAAAGGAGGGAACAAGAGAAGGAGTTCTTAAATCAGAAATACTTTATTAACAGTAAAACACAAGACGTGAATAATCCCTTTTACAATAGAATAGTTCCAGCCAAAGAAAATGGAGTGTGTTAAAAAGTGTACTGTTCAAACATCAGGCTAAATATGTTGACTTCAGGATGCCTCAAAGCAGACGCAGCAGTAGGAATACTGGTGAAATCATCCACTTGATTAGCAGTTGTATTCTTGATATGCCAGGGCAGAGTACTCTGGGGCTGATCAGAGGGCTCTGAGCTGCCCTGATCTTGCAGACTCCTGAAAGTGTGTCTCAGATTTTTTGTTCTCAAGAGGCAAGAGTCCAGCTAGCATATTTACACAGTGATCCACACTGTTGTACAGAGTATCACTAACTGTGAATACTACTTACTGTCTTCTTCCAAGTGGTGAAGAAGTTTTGCCTTGACTGCGATGGAAAAGAGAGAGGGCAGAATTGTTCGTGGGCAGAATTGTTCGTAGGCAGAAGTGGTACCATTAAATCTTTGTTTCACGTTTCCCTTTTTTGCACCAGACTGTGATAGCTAGTATTTAACACGAAGAAAACAGACCTTGCTCAAATCCACCATTATGGCCCCTTGGTTGCATACATCCTTGCAAGATTATGGCTTCATCGATCCACCCAAAAAGGCCTGTTTCTTTGTTTTTCTTGTCCCACTTCTCAGCCCAATTTGAATGGCAGAGGCGATACTGAAATGAGGGATTAAATTGCTAACACTGAATTGCTTGTAGAAAATACACCGTGGTACATTTAACTCGTACTTAGTATTATAAATAATTAAAATGAACTCCAATTACTTGAATAAGTGAAAAAAATGTATCTAGAGGTGCATCATCTCTGCTTGTCGTTACATTTGTTCCCTTGCTCTCCTGTTTGCAAAGCATCTCATGGACATAACGGTGAATTAGAAAGATGTAACACACTTCAGCATCAAAAAATCACTTTGAAACAGATGATGTGCTCACTACAGTGAAAGTGCAAGGGGTCAGACTTTACCAACTTTTTTTCTAGCTTTTCTTTGCTGATGAGGTCTGTATTTAAAATTATTAACTGGTTGGTCTAGTTCTTCCTATGCTATTCATACGCAATATTATTTGAAGACTAACACGGAATATAAAATAGCAGCATCCATGGATAATAAAAACACTATGACTGAAGATCTAAAAACCGTTCACAAATAGCTGCAAATGTTCACATTGGCTATAATGGAAGAGTAGCTGACTCTGGAGGACTTAGTGGTTATGTCTACCTTGCATAAGAGACGTGGCCTGCAACTTAGATTCATCAGCTGTACAGGCACCAAGTTTGCAAGCATGGCTTGGGTACAAGTGGAAGCATCCTCCTGACGGGACTCTCAGACATCTCGCCTCCTTGGCAGGTAAATGTGGCATCAATATGGCAATGTAACATAAGGTGCCCCAGGCAAGCTGTTTGGAAAGCCCTGAGGTAAACAGGGAACAGGAACTTGGTCACTCCTGGCCACTCTGGAGCTCCTGAGAGTTGGTGATCTGTACAAGCTAAAGTCCTGTGCTGGTGCACATGCAGAGGAGTCTGCACTAGAGACACTAAGCGATTTCTGTTCACTGAACAAAGACTAAATGCCCACTCAGGCTTTCTGTGCCTTGCAGAAAGGTACTCCCTGAGCTGCACCAAGAAGAAGCCCTCTCAGTGGCTGCAGTGAAGTCTCCAGGCTGAGAAGTGTTCTGTTCCCAGATCTAAAGCCTCGCATAATCTCTCTCCCTACTGCAAGATGGGACCAACTCTACCATCAGTCATTTTTTCAGCGGGTGGTGACCTAACCTCTTACATGCTCTCAGGGAAGCACACTGACCTAGAGGGGCTTGGGTTCGGATGGTCGAGTAACTTCTGGCTTCTCCAGAGCAATGAACTCACCTTTGGCTTGGAGAGCACACGTGGCATGCTGTGTTCAGTAGGTTTGTGAGGAAGACCAAGGGCAGATGAGATAAAGTTAGACACAAATGGCTGATTTGCTCCATTTTAAGAGTTGTGCAGTGGAGATGATGTTTACAGTGAGAGGTGTTTCCAGGGCAGATTTTATACTGAGGGAACATGAATACCTAGCAACTCTGTCCTGCACTGAACTTGTGAAAAAATAGCGGAGGATAAATAAACATGCTTCATCCTGACACCGTCTCTGCTAGCAGAGCTCCTGCCTATGGCAGCCCGCTAGCACTGGGTGTCTGCACAGAACCACAGAGCAATGTAAACGGGAAGGGATCTCTGCAGGGCATCTACTCCGATGCCCTGCTCAGAGCAGGGACCACTTAAGAGGCTGCTCAGGGCGTTGAAAGGCTTGGCACAGCACTTGCTGGAGACATGGAAGGAATTTCTTTGACTCCAGCTGATGTTACTCGGGGCCACAGTTCCCTTTCTTGTTGCTAACACAGACCGAGCATAGCAAAACACGAAATACTGATGAGGAGTGAAGATGCTTGTGGCTTTACAGGAATACCAGCAAGCACACAGCAGAGCCCTTGTGAAAAGTCAACTCAGTGTAGCCTTCAAAGCACGGGGGCTGCCTGGATGTGCTATGGGTGAAATCACCATCAGGCATAGCCAGCTGGGTTGTCTGCAAGGAAGGGTTTGACGGGGAGAAAAAGCATGTGCTGCACCTCTGAATGCTGCAGCCATTGCTCCAACGTACCTGATCTCCTGTTACAGGGCAAGGTCATGGGCCTGAGCAGTCAGCAACAGCGGCACTGAATGGCTTCATGCAGCGTGCCATAGCCGCTTTGGTCACCTCTGGAGGCAAATGGCACATTAATACTGGTGCTCCTGGAGAACTGGCAGCAATTAAGCAGTAATCTCTCAACTACTCAGTAGGAAAACCAGTGGTCTGGTACCATGATGGATGTGCTTTATGCCACCACCCAAACTCCCACCGCTGCCTGCTGATGCATGGTATTTATCCACAGAAACCTTCAAGAGGGTTTGGATTGTTGATGGCTTGCAAAAACATTTGAAAAAAGCTGCCTTCAACTAAGCAGTCTCCCTGTAAGTGGTTTTAAATCTCTGAGGAAGTCCATCTCAAAACTATTAATGAGTGCATTTAAAGGCTTTAAATTGAATATAGGTTGATAGGTTCATGAAGATCTTTCAGCAGGAAATATTTCCTTCCAAAAGGAGATATTTGGGTCTTGTTACAGCGAGATACAAAGTTGCCTAGCTGTAAATTATAAGAAAAACAAATTTTTAATTGATCTTAATTCATATACAAGAGAGGACTCTAAGAGAGAATTTGATCAAAAAGGAAGGGAAATACATGGTTTAGTAGCCTTATTTTTTATCACTGCATCTAGGCAGATCATCTTTCTATTTACTTGTTTGCCTCATCCACTGCTCCTACTTCTCCCCCATGGTGAGCTCTTCCCTTCTCCTGGGATGGAGCTATCAGATGCTCTGTTTGCACAGCAGCTCGTGCAGTGGGGCTAGCCTGGTCAGGACTAAGCCTCTAGAGGCCACCAAAATCAGAAATCATTCACAAAGTGATAACAGCTTGCCCAAAGGCTAATGGTTCTGAGGTGGATGTTGGCTTTGATTGCCCAGAATCAGTGCTTTGATCCAACTTTCAGCAGAGTTACATGATTCATCTCGTCCTAATGTAGACATTTCAAGTAGGACAGAAGAACCACGCTCCAGAAATGCTTGTTCCTTTCCTTACGAGTGAGGGAAATATTTAGGTGACTGCCTTTAATGAGATGCACGTGTGGGTTGCAGTGAAGCCAGAAGGGCTATATCTGCATGAGGATTAGAGAAAAGAGTAGAAATACAGGCAAGGAAAAGCTGCTCAGAATTTACCAACTTCCATTTAAAAACACAGACATTTACTAAGCAAGCATCACTGCCAGGCTGTGAGTTGTTTCACCTCCCCAGGGGCCCACCTCTCCTGCTTGCCCACATTTTGTGACCATGTGTTCCCCTTACACGCAGTGGGCAGACAAAATCATACTCAGGGTGCGGTGTATTTGACCAACCTAAAGCACCTTATGATAAAACAAATGATGCCTCAGAAAAACCTGCTTCTCTCCACTGACTAACCATAATTTTTCTTCTACAGAATCACAGGAAAATGGAAAATGGAGATGTTCAAGAGCAGGCGCACCTTAGCAAGGCCACCTTTGCTCTCTGGGAGGAAGATGACAGTGCTGGGGATGTCTAAAAGCAACCCATAGGCTTCCCTATATATTAGGAGGGAAGGAGGTTTCAGCCTAAAAGGCAAGGATGAATTTAGGATAAAGGGCAGAGCTAGAAGACAGAAGTGATTTTTAATTTGCCCTTAGCTGCTAAGTAAGCAAAGGGATGAGCAATATGAAAAGCACAATGAAATTACTGGAGAAAAGGTGTAATAAACACTGAAAACAATGTTACCAACAACTCAGTACAGGGAGATTGAAGACAAGAGCTGAGGAAAATGTCTGTTTCCAAACCTTTCTTTAGTCTGTGAAGTAGTAAATGGCATGCCTGGAGTTTCCGTGTAACAGTATTACTGGATTTCATTGCTGCAGGAGACTGTAAAGCTTTTCCTATTCCACACTGACACTACTGATGGCAAATGGTGACAAAATATGGTTCTTCACATTTACAAATTTTCTATAAAACTTGGCAATACTGCTCAGTCTTAACGATCACTTATCCTTCTGTGTCCTACCAATGCTGGAGGCAGCTGATGGTGCATTCAAAGGAAGTAACCCCTCTGTTTTACTCATTCTTCTGCTCTGTTCATGATTACTGCCTCAGAACAGGTATTACATAGCATCTAAAAGACACAGAAAGTCTTTCCAATGAATGTTACTTGGTTTGCATATGCGATGGACCTGAAGATTTCAGGCATCCTCTTCTAATCTTGCAGTAAAATGCGTAGCACCAGGTATTGTGTGAGAGGAAAAGAAACTTTCTGTAAAACATTTTTTCTCAGTATACTATGTTCTAAGGAAGAGTGAGATTTGAGTAACCAATCTTTTTGACCTTTACAGAAAAAAAAATAAAAATCAGTGGCCCAGAAGGAGCTAATCCTGTACCCTTTCAGCAAGGTAACAGGGACCGCCAAAAGACAGTAGGGTTTCACCTGCCTCCTCAGAAAAGGCCACCAAGTGAACATTTGGAAAGGCTGGCTGAGTGACAGTACGGACAGTAATTTTTCTTGCTTACAGAAGGACCACAGACAAGGAGCTTTTTTTTTAAAAAAAAAAAAAAAAGGTTTGCACATAGACTCACTCTTTGCTTGTTCGTGGCTTACACTGCCTCACCACTCCCTGCAGGCGAGGCAAAACCGCTGCAGCTGATGAAGCCTGTATCTAAGATGAGGAACCATCCATGGGGATGTACGAAGTGACTGACAGGGAAGCCCCCTCTGTCAAACCCAAGCGTTTCGGTCAGATCCCGAGGACTGGCACAGCACAGGCAATAGATGTGACTGGTTCACGCCTCCTCCTCAGTGCATCTTGTGAGCGTGGGGCTTCCTGTTCCCAATGCAGAGACCATCCCAAGACGAATTACTCAGTTCTTCAATGCACACTTCATTTCCTTTTTCTGAATCACAGTTCAAGTCCCTTTTAGACGTACCCTTGATATCAGCACAGTAGTCTAACTACAGTTAGTCCTAACTTTAAAACAAACTACATCAATACTGTATAATGGATAGGATTCAGTTTACATGCCGGATACATATGCAAGTATGTATGTACTTTGCAAAAAAAGTACTGGAAGTTAATTAGATTTTAAACTTCTAGGCATATATTTCAAATTCTCTTTTTTTTTGTTTTTTCTTAGGAGCTTGTTACTTTTCAGTGCAGCAGTACCATACACTACTGTGTTAAGAGTATCAGGCTACTCAGGTGTGTCCAGAATGCTCTGATAAGGCTCCAGAGCTGAAGGCATCCCGAGGGCTCTCTCCTCCTGCCAAATCCTAGGGGAGACAGGGGGCTCAGCTCCTCACAGGATCTGCTGTCCCATCACACTTTGCCGTAGGGAGACAGACTGGGATTGCTGTTTAGTCCTTCAATTCACTGGAAAAAAGTCATCTCTACGTGTAAGTCCTGTGCACCACTTAAGGTCCTCTTTCAGACCTGAAATTAGGATGTACGATGGAGATAAATGGTGCCGAGATCTGACTTTGGTTGCCTGCAGAGGGGTGAATTTCACCTACTAGGAACAGCTACAGCCAGGTTTCTGAATCCACGTGAAAGTGCTGAGAATTCGCACCATTTACTGGCTTGGCTGGGGAATGAAGATGCTCACAGAAACTGCTCGACACTTTTGCAGGAATTTGGCTTATTTTGTACTAGAGAACAGATACGCTATACCTGAATTTCTAAACTTATTGTACTGGCATCAGAGTAACTAGAAACCACAAAACATATCATGAAAAAAAAAAATAGGAGAGTAGACTATGTATAGGAATATTTACATCTACATACATCTACATATAGAAGCTTCTGTTCACCGGAAATCCTATAAGCCACTGCCTGCAATAGCATCCATCCTAAGGGACTTGTAGAGATGATTCCTAAGAGACTGAGGAGATGGGGTTATGAGGTGAGCCCATCTGTGTCAGCACCTTATCCAGCCATTGCAATGGTCCATGCAGGTGGATCTCAATCCAGCAGGGTGTGCTTGTAACATCTTGGCGGTGATACTCTGCTCCCCAGCCCTACAAAAGCATCAAAGGACCACAAAGTGAGACCTTAAAAAAAAATACAACATTAAATCACAAATCCAGTGCTGTCAGTCTAAGTTGTCGGTCTAAGACAACTGCAGGTAGCCCATCACCCCAGTCACCGGGATATAATGCTTTGTCCTGGGGATAATTTTCTCTGAAAACTTTGCCTTTTTAAGGTTATTACCATTGGTTCTCAGGATCTTTATACTATTGGATTAGAAGTGCTTCGCAACACTTGCAGGTGCTGAGACCAACCGGCACAGACTGGCCTGGTTCTGAGCTCGGCTGCCTGCAGATTGCCTGTAGGGAATGGTCCCTGCTGCTTGCACTCCAGAGACATGCCCACAAAAATCTGCCAGGCTGCTGTCTGGCACAGACAAAACACAGACCAGGCCCTGTCATAACACTTTAGCAGGAACTGGTAACGATCCCAGGCACTGCCTCATTTATCAGCAGAGATGCATCCCACCAGTCTGAGACTCTTACAGTTCTAGGTATTTGTCTGAGCCTATGGAAGCTTCCAGCAAGGTTCCTCCTACCTCCTTTACCTTAAACTTAACTCATGTATAGGCATTTTCCAGAGTTTTTCTATCCTTGAACACATCCTTTTTTCACACGGGAATTCCTGGCTGTCTGCTGTGGGAAATCCTGCAGTAATTTCACCAGCTCTTTCTGGGAGATGAGGGACAAGGAGCTCCTGTCAGAAGGTGGGCATGGGATGCTAGCAGGGAGAAAAAAGAACCAGAAGTCCCTGCCTCAAGTGGGCGCAGATTTTAGCCACCTGTGTACACCACTGCCCAGGGAAGTGGTGGAGTCACCATCCCTGGAGGTCTTTAAAAGACATTTAGATGTAGAGCTTAGCGATATGGTTTAGTGGGGACTGTTAGCGGTAGGTCAGAGGTTGGACTCGATGATCTTGAGGTCTCTTCCAACCTAGAAATTCTGTGATTCTGTGATTCTGTGATTCCCCAATCAGTGTGAGGGATCAACAAAATGCCACAGGACTTGACTAGCCAGATGTTTTTATCAGCACAGAACTACAGAAAAGAAGTTATAACACTCAGCATCCAACCCAGCAGTTCCTGCTCTCTTCTCTTCAGCCCAATACCAAAGCTCTGGAGACACGATGCTTGTGCAGTGATTTCACACAAACACGAGCAATCCAAGGAAGAGCCTGAGGTCTCACAGCTGACTTCTGGCCTCACAAAACAGAGCTCTGATCTCCACAGGGCAATCTGCAAAATGCTGTCCCGCTACAGGATGAGGTTCTGTATTTGCGGGCCACTGACCAGGGAAGCTGAACCCTACAGTTATGCTAGTCAGGGGGGTGATATTTTTGTCATAAGAGAGGGACATGGAGATATATTAACGCCAATGCTTACCAAAGGTACCTAAATTGTAGAGTGCTGAACAATTCAAACTACTGAGGATGCTAGGAACCAGTTCTCTAGACACTCACCTGCAAAACTAGGACCAAGACCAAAACGAGATGCCATAATAAGTGGTCTGGATAAAATTCATTTGTGCTTAATGGAGAAAAGGGGCAGAGAGCAGAAAATGAAGATATGGACCCACCAAAGCCCAACGTGTACTTTTAATCAGGGAGCATTTTTCTGCCCTGAGCAACATTTATCAGGCTAGCAAGTGCCTGTGTTCATAGGCAACTCAGATTAATGTTCTGGAAATGTTTGCAAAAAATGCCACTCTTCGAGTGCTGTCAGGCTTCTGACTTTGTTAAGAGCCTTAAATCCTCAGCTGCAGGGAAAAAACATGGCCAGAAGGGCAAGTGTCAGAGGAGTTGATGCATCTCCCCCGAACAACAGGACGGAAAACCTGTAGGAATAGGAATTGCAGGTTGCAAATGCAACCTGCCTGATTGTGAGGAGTCTGGCAGTCTGTGTAGATGGCCGGGCATCTCCCTCTGCTGGCAGCTCCCAAACACTTCCAGCCACCTTCCCCCGTTGCTGCCTGTGCTGCTGGAGGGTGAAATGCCCGGGGGCAGGGCTCCCTGGGCTCCCCCAGATCACAGCAGATCACGCAGGCTCCCCGGCTGCAGGGAGCTTCCTTCAGCCCCAGGGCTGATGTGAACCCAGAGGTGGAGCTCCCCTAAAATGGGAATAAAATGAGAACAACCTGCAAAGCTGTGTTGTTGTTTTGCACAGAGGATGGGAAGAGGGTAACAATACCCACAGGGGGAGTCTAGAAGTGAGCTTTTCACCATGGGGCAAGCCTGCTGAGGAACCCTGCTGCTCTTGCCAGCCCTTCCCACCTTGCGTGGGCAACAGCCAGGGTCCCAAAGCGCTAAGCTGCCTTGCACTGGGCTGCACTGAGCTGCCTTGCACTGGGAAGCATGACCAAGCCGTGCTGGGTCAGCCCCTCAGCCCCCAAACCTGCAGGAACATGGGAGGGAGGGCACTGCCTTCGGGCCTTCGCTTGGTGAAGGTCTCTGTCTCTCTGGTTTGTGCTTCAGCTGTCTCACCTGTGGAGAGGGGACAACCTGGTTTTGCTAGGTTTATCAGGAGGGCTGTGTGGATGGAAATTGTTACCTGCTCTCACCGATGATACATTCAGATGTGCCCCAGGGCTGAGCTCCTCCCAGCTGCTCCAGGGGCAAACCAGGGGTAGCAGAGAGGACAGGAGCCTCACTTCCCTGTCCCGTGTCCTGCCTCCAGAGAGTGATAGAGTCCTGGCAAGTTTCTCATGACTTAGTCCCTGCCCAGCCCTGCCTCCCAGCTGGTAGTTCAAGCACTGGTGGTGTAGGGCTGAGCCCTTTGGCTCAACTTGCCCAGCAGCACCTCGACACAAATCTGGGGAGAAGCCACAGGACTGCCCTGCACCTAGGGTCTTGTGGTGTGTGGCATTTTCTGGGGGTCTGACAGACAACATGCTCCTCTGCCCAATGCCCAAGAGTATTTCTGTCCCTGAACTAAACACACCAGGGCTCACACCTTCGGAGAGAAATAATTTGAGAAGACTGAGTACAGGAAAGGGTTTTTACAGGCTAGGAAGAGTCTGGGTGACATTTGCATAGCCATTTTCCAAAGGTCATGGGAAAAGGTTCAAAATAACTCCTTGCAAAGGTCTTCTGGTGCCTGAGGCACTATAGTGGCTGCTATTGTTTCAACAAAGCAAGGTGATAATACAGCAGCTGTGTTACTTAGTGCATCAGTGCCACCACTTCTGCTGCCATGCTGGGCTTGGAGGCAGATAACACATCAAAGAGACTGCCCCTGAGTTGCTGAGATAATGAAGATATTGCATAACTGGCTACACTGCCTTTACAAACAACATGCCCATTCACGTCTTCCATTAAAGAAAATGTTGTTTGTTGGGTTTCTCGCTTGCTTTTTTTTTTTTTTTTCCCTAATGCTTGCGTGTGAACAAGATGTCAGTTCCTTCCCAAGAACAAAGCAAGAACATGGTCACAAGCACGGAGATTTTGGCTTGGGCTCTTGGGAGAACTTACAGGGCACCTTAATGCTCTTAGAGAGTTAAGCAGATGGGTCCCCAACAATGGCTGGAAAGAGTAGGGCCAGAAAGCTCCCTGGGACTCTACTCGTCTGCTTTGCAGAATACAGGGGAACTGGGCTTGAGCCTCAAGCAGTTTTGTTATATCCTAGATGTGAATCCAATCAGCTCGATTCCGTCATTTGTATAAAACCAAACCTGCAAGACGAATGGACATACTCAAGCCACTTCTTATGGTACCTAACAGGATTGACTTGCTCCTAATGGTGCAACTTCCCTAGTTTGCAGGCTGAACGTTGCTGCCAGCTCTTCCCAGCACCACTACGGGAAGTCCGAGTCTAGCACATCTGTAAACAGTCTTGAAATACTCACCATTCTCTGGGGTTTAGATGCCACAGCAGGCACCCAAGTAAATCTTAAGTGCTAAAAGGGCTCAAGAGATCTCATTCTACTTAGAGGGCCATTTAGAGACTTAAGAAATTCCCACAAAGGCTGATACGTTGCACACAGAGAAGTCAGATTGCAAAATTCAGATTTCAAAGACACTTATGGAAACAGTAATGGCTTTGGTGGCTTCATGCTAAATAACAGGGGGAAGGTCAGTTGGTTTTTTGGATTTTGTATTCTGCTTGCAAGAAGTCCTTCTGGTAGTGAGGCTGACGATCAGGAATTAAGAGAACCTGTAAACAGGGATCAGAGAGGCGGCAAACACTGACAGTTCCCAACAAGCTCAATGGGAGCTGAAGGAGGAGCTAGTGTTTCTTGACTATATATATACATATATATACGTATACAATTCTATATATACAACTTCATAGTAACAGTGAGACTACAAATTGGTCTGGAGACATAAGGACATTTTTTTCAGATCTGTGGCTCTACCAAGCTCCCTTGCAAAGCAGTAACAGATCACAACTGCCTAAGATATGTACTACATTTACATGCTGCTGAGCCCATCTAAGCTGAGCTCCTTTTGCAATCAGTGGGGGTACACCACCGTTCAGTCTCTGCTTGTTTTCCACATGAGCCTATGGAAATGTTATTTTTGGAGTCTAGGAAATTTCAGGGTTGTCCACAACTATTGATTTTAACCACCTGCAAGACAAGCTTAAGGCAAGATTAGAAAACAGGCTGTCTCTGGAATGCAATTTGCAGCTTGGGTGCATATTCCTATTTGGGAAGGATTTGATAGGGTCTAGTTTTACTAGCTAGCAAGCTAGTTTTCAGCTAGCAAGTGATGGGATTGTCCTTTTCAGAAAGGCAAGAGAAAACAAAAAAGCCTTACTTTAACAAAGCTCATTCGAATTGTACACATCTTGGTCAGCTCATATACCACTTCAAAGCCATGGTTGACTGATTGGGCAAGCAGCTGGGCGAAGAGTTGGTTGTTGAATATCTTAAGGCTGCAGCCGCTGGGGATCTTGCAGACAGTGGCTGGGTGGAAGCCATGCTGATAGTTACAATTGCGGCTCTGCACAAAAATACTGCTGTCACTGACACATTCAGCATAAACTTCCCCGCCGACATAGTAAAGATGAACACCTCGAGAAAGAAAACAAGACAGGTATTATTCCTCCATTGTTCACAACACGTTATATCAGTAATTTAGTTTGTTTCTGTGAATTTTTTAACTATTTCACTGGTGTGGACATACAAGGCCAGTATCATTCCAGGCACTCAGTGCCTACACCATGTCTTTTAAAAGACAGTACACTTTGTGTATATCCATGTATCTGTGCATTCATCAGCATTAAGAGGAAATTGTCAAAAACAGTATTTCGAGGTATTGGTACAGGAAAAAAAAATCTCAATGTGATATTTTGCTTTGTTTCTCTGTGAATATTGGCTTACTTCTTTAACCCAACAGCATGGAACTTTATGATACACACACGCACATGTGTATACACACACAAAATGTCAAACATATGTCAGCCATATACAAAGTATGGATCCGATCTGTCAGAGAACTGACAAGTCTGTTACACATTACACATCCACATCTATTTGGTTTGAGCACAGGCACGCTGACCAAGACCCACTTCGTTGCACGCTATGTACTACTACTGGATCCTATCTGACGCAGCTCAAACACAGCATGGTGTGCCCTTAAAAACAGCTTTTCTGTATTTTATCCACCACATCAGAACCACATATTTACATTTGCATGTCCCTGACTTACTCACCAGATCTTTCACGTTCAAAGCAACCTTTAGCAAGAAACTGACTCATTTCCAGGTGGACTTCCCAGTGCCTGAATGCCTTACCAACACTACCTCCCAAACTTTTACCATGCCTTGGGAAATTAAGATGGAAGCATTTCTATCCATTCAAGAACTCCAGTCCCCCCAGACATCTGCTTGCATGAAGATAAATATAAAGTGGTGGGAGAATTGTTCTTAGCCCAATTTGGCAACCTTAAGGTTAGAGATCTGGTGTAAGCTAATTGTGTTGATGCCTTCCTCAGCTGATAGATGATGAGAGGCACAGCAACCTGTCGATTCACTCCATCCACCACAGAAAGTAGGTTCACAGACAGCTCAGACTGATGGAAGTCTGTGCTGGTGCTGAAAAGTCTCTCTCCCCATGTTCCTGATGCTTTTTCCCACACCTGCTTTCATGCTGGCAGCAAGGCTTGGACACTGGGCAGCCACCCAGGTCAGGGAACTGAACCCAATGAAAACTAACTTAAAAACAAACAAAAGGAAACAACAAAGATTTATTTGCAGTGAGATCTTCATCAGTGCCAGCATGGCCATGGGGACCCAGGCTGCTTAAACGTGAGCATGAAACCACACCCTGAAGGGGACCGAGTCATCCTGTGAAAATGAGATGAACGGCCTGGAGCGGTGGAAGAATTCAGGCCTCTTTTCACATAAAAACCACCACTAAAAATAATAAAATCCTCCCTACTCCCAGGTATGGCATTCAAACTCTGACATATAAATGCACACATTCAGACTCTAAGTGGACTGTCTGCAAAGCTAGTGATAACTATGCTTTTTAATAATTCAGTCATAATTTTCTTCATTCCGGTTGTCTTTCATACAAAAAGACTGGTTACACGTTCCCAGCCTCTGTTCCTGATTTTGTGGTCATGACAGCAAGGGGCAGCGGCACATCCTGAAAACAAAAACAGCCTCTGGAGACAAGTGGGAAAGGCTTGGGGAAAAGCAGGTTGAGTGGGAAAGGGATCTGGGAAAAATACGCTCTCCCATAGACTTCCAGAGTGACTCAGACAAGAACCCTAGTCTGTCTTCAAGCCATCACTTGACTTTTACTTCTGTGCACCCACGAGATCTCAAATTAGATGTGAGTGACAGGGAGGTGTGGCTCGCAGCACAAGCTCTTATTGCACTGGGAACACAGGTGAGACTACAGCTCCATCAGGCCAGTCACCAGCTCCAGCCCAGCTGCGCCAGGTATCACGGGGAGGTGCACTCTGCGGCTGCTATTACGTGACCTAAGGCTCCTTTCCCTCCCGTGGACGGGGGATGAAAGGGAAGGACATTAGATACTAAAACCACAAAGGCTCTAGCTGACCCTGATGGAGTCCGTGTAACTGCCTGAAATAAACAGTGAGAGCAAAGGGGAAGGAGAGAAGGACAAGGACATAAACGATGTCCTTGACCTCAGATCTTCAGGTGTAACTACTTATTTAGGGTGATTCTAGGTGCAAAGCTTTAAAGGCTGGATTTTCAGAATATATTGAATACCCAACTTCCAAAAAAAAAAAAAAAAGAAAAAGAGAATGTTTCCAAAGGCATCACCCAAACTGCATACTGCAAAAACAAAAACACAAAAGTAACTTCTGAAAGCTGAGGCTATAATTTTCTTTTTCCTTGTGGACTTTTTAAAAGCAATAAATACAGCAGCACTGAAATGTCAGTGTGCATTTCCATTCTTCTGGTATTCATTCGCCAGAGACAAGCACCCTGAAGGAAGGCATCCAGCTGAATGCATGCTTGGAGAAGGCCAAATCAAGGGCCCATATGTTTTAGCAGGATTTCATTGCTCTCTGCAGAAAGTGGAGGTTCAGCAATCTCCAAGCATCCACATCTTTTTGCCACTCTGATCAGAAGTCCTCTTTTTGTCCTTGAAGTCTGACTGCTGAAACAGGTCCAATTGCTAGTAGATGTTGCATTGTGTTCTGGATTGTTTTTAGCTTTGATGTGGTATTTCCAGGAAACCGTTTCACGCTGATACACTAGATGACAATTCAATCGCATATCCTTATCCTACTGAGCTAATCTTGTTTACTCACTCTTTTTTTCTCCCCTGTTAACATGTGACAATTGTATCCATTTCAGTAGCTTTCATCTGTCCAGCGTGCCTTTGAACTACAGGCTTTTGGAGCTGCTCTGTGCTCTTCTGCAGGCCTGTACTGGTGCCACTTCTATTCCACTTGAACATGTGTTTTTTTAAGATTTGCATAAACAGGGAAGAGCATTAAAATTAAGGATCTCAGATACACTAAGCTTCTCTCTGGGCAGCCTGCTCCCTTCCCTTGGGCAGATTCCTAGTGTGAGACTTAAAAGGACTTTTAATCAATGAAGGCACATCTTCAGATTTGAAAGGATGAGGACCATTAGCATTTACCTCATATTCTTCCTGTTCTGTCTCTTCCTCTTTTGGGGCAGAAATTCACAGGATGTAACATCCTCAAATGACAGCTTTGACCAGGATCTTTTGTCATTCTTCTTTTAGGGCCGGGCTCAGCTTTGATCTACACCCCTTTGACGGCTTATGCTGATAGAGAAGCTTTGCCTTGTTTTCTGAGTACGTTGGAACTAGACGTGCAACTCCTTTCCACTGCTCACCTCACACCAAACTACTCCGTGACACTTGTCCTAGACACATCACGCTAGCTTCACACTGCACATTTGCAACACAGATCCTTCTTTTCCTTCTGGAACAAAGTGCAAGAGCTAAGCACAATGTCTCCGGCACCAGCCTTCGGGTTCACTGGTGTTTGTTAAAACTATGTCACATTTGTCTCAGACCTTCCTCGTACACCGTCATTCAACACTAGACTATCAAGAGCCAATTAAAATACTGCTCTAGGCCTGGGAAATGAGGTGAGGTTGACAAGATAATAGGAGTGGAACAATTAGAGTTAATTAGCCCAGTAGGGAATCCATTCCCAGGCAGCTACTGGTGAGAGGCTGGGCTGGCAAGATAATGAGTCTAGACTGGATATACCAGAACAAGCAAAGCTTCATCTGCACAGAGAAGTGGCCAGCACAGGGCTTCTGACTCACTACAGCAAACAACAATAAATTCTGGGAGAATATCAGGCCCTACACAGCCCTAACGAGCTGGGATGGAGCGTGTGGAGCCATGCGTATCCAGGTGAGGTCTCATCCTACATGCCACCAGTAACCTCTGAGCTGGTGTGCCCAAGATGTGCACACACCAGAAGAGGAGCACACAAGACCTGCTGGAGGCAGAATCCATGACTTGGTTTTACTAGTGAGAAGCTGATGAGGAAGGGAATCAGATTGGACTGATTTTCTTAAGTTGCTACGGGGAAAAAGCTACAAAGGCAACTCTTGTAGAGTTCTTCAGCTAAATAGCTCAACTGCTAAGTGTTTCATCCATCTCCCTTTGTTATTTGGTGGTAGGAGAACCAGCCCTGAGGCACCAGCAATTATCCTTTTAGTGGCATTTCAATGGCAATATTCCCAGTTGCCAGAAGCTCTAATAAATAAAATGAAAATACATACTGCTAAATTAGAACATACAACTATAAACAACATTTTTCTCTTTGCTGGCCAAGTAAATAGCTTTTGTAAGGAGCTACTCTGCTGATTGTTATCCAGTCAGAAAAGGATCAGCTGCTTTTCTTCTATTTCAGAAGTAATCTCAGCTTTGTTTTTAAGACAAACACAGCTAAATTTGTTAATGCAATGTATAGCTCTTTCAAGCTCTGAATACTCCCAAGGAGAAGGGATTTTCTCTTACCTTTTCCTATGTGTCTCCTGGTGTTTTCTATAGTAGAATTGCGGTTTACGTTTGAGAGCAGTCCCAGGCAGAACCTGTTTTTGTTATTTGAGGGATCTGTAAATCCATCTATGAGGATACTTCGAGAGGAAGCCTGGAAAGTCTCCCCTACCCTGTTGTTGAGTTCATAGTATGCAACTGAGCACCAGTGTTGGGGTTCCTCATAGCAAACAGGCCGAAAGTCTGTAGGAAACAAAATTAATCAGCCGCTCAGGTCTCAGTAATACTTTTAAAACAATCATTCTCTGTCTCTTTTCCTCTCTCCTCCCCCTTCCATCCTCCCAGCTCTTCATCTAAACAGTCACTTATGTCAGGCTTTATCTCAACAGCAGCTTCTGTTTCTTCTTAATTTTATGATTGAAGCTCCAAATGTGCAAAGGGCTGGTATTCCAGCTTAACTCTAAGCCTCTGAGGAGTCCCACTTGTTCTTAAAAGTGATAACTCCAATGCATTAAATTAAGCACATGCTGACATTCCTTGCTGAACTGGGACCCAACCTCTACACTGAAAATAGTAAGGGATACATCTGCTCTGCACACCAGCAGCAGCTAGGGATGACAGATGGGCTCAAAGCAAGTCAAAACTGAGCCAAGCCTTCAGTCTAGTACCAAACGCTGAAGTTCAGAAGTAATCAATCACTCCCCCCCAAATTTTTTGCATGCTTTGAGGCTTTCTGCTTCCATGTGGGACTGTAAGTGGAAATGTCATCAAGGTCATTTCTTTCGGATCTAAACCCTGCCCAGGTTTTCTAACTCAGAGACGAAGACTCAATACCGTAACAGAATCTCTGAGCCTCATTCGTCCTGCAGGAATTAGTGGGAAACTTTATCCTGCCTGCCTCCCACAGGCATGTGAGACCTCTTGCCCCCAGAGCACCTTTGTGCTCAACCTCTAATAAAATTCCAACTAAGATTCACTGTGGCAGTGATCAGAGATGGCAAATTATGGTAAGGAGATTAAAATCTCGACAATTTACTTTAAAATATTGGTGTCTGATAACTAGTAATTATCCAGCCGTTCTGTGTACTCATCTGTTATTAACACTACCATCCTCAGCTTGCTTCTCCTCTGGTTCTCTGACAAATACGTGTTACTTCATGGTTCAGAAGCCTGGCATTATTTGTTTAATGTGCTTGTGTGTGCAGAATTCAGTCCATATGCTCTAAAGGACATTTGTTTAGGACTGCAATACACTGGACTACAAGGACAATGGTAGTTTTTCTTTTACAGCAGGAGGAAGCCAGAGGAAAACACAGCAAAGGAACTCAATTCCCCCATGCTGCTCTGCAGCAGTGGCCTTCAAAGGGTGGAGGATCAGCATCACCTGCCTTAATAGTCTGGAGGTAGCAGAGACCACACTGGAGAGGTCATTAAGATGCTTTGAGAGGGGGGAGGAATATCCCAGTCCCTTCTACTCTAACCACCCATGCACTTCCCCACTACAGAATCTTTTATATAAGGACATAGAGTTTGGCTGTCTGTAAAAACCTTTTTGTACTTCACTAGAATATCTCCTTTTCCATTCTAGCCAGTCACTAACGTAACATTAACACAAAGATGGTAGTAAGAAAGTTCCCAAATGTACAACTTTAAAGTACATGAAAACCACAACTAAAGGTGATAAAGAAAGTTTTGATATTGATAATGCTCTTTTGTGTTGTATTGCCTCTCCATCCTTGATTTGATATCTCTGTCTTTACAATGTAGATAACACTGTTTGCCTTCATTAACAACTTTCTCATTGTAGTAATCCATGGACGCAAGTAAGGTCTAAACTCTGTAACTCTGCACATAAGTCACTGAATTCTTAGATCATCCTATTCTGCTAGCTAATGGACATGCAGGAGTACATAGCCTTATCCTCAAACTGTCTGAGACCTATTGTTACAGATCACTGAACCTCCTAGTTCAAATAATATTTTTTTGCTTAACATTTTTCTTTGAAGAATAGTACAAATAGTTATTTACTTTCAGTTTCTCCATCGGCAGATTTACCTCCATTGGGCAAAGACAGTACTAGTTGGCTTTCAGATATTGCATCCATTGACCGCCCATTTAAGTTTCCTGGAGTTTCTCTTGCATGGTAAGGTGGGGGTGGAGTTTCCACTGTTAGAAAGAAGGAAAGAAAGAAAAGAAAGAAAAGAAACCCAAATCAATACCTTGGTCAATGCTCCCCAGCATTTCCTGGTGGATACTTACCACTTCTTCTGCACTGTTTAGCTAGAAAAAACAAAGCACAGATCTGAACCTGACTGCAGTATCCAGATTAAGACCAATATATGTTCAGGAAGAATGGCAAGGGAGAGCAATCGTGTTGGACTTGGTACACTTGAAAGAAGGAGGAACAGTCACAACAGTGCCTCAGGCCCAGAGCACTGTCCTGCCAAGTCCTCTGGTAATGCAAGTGGTTACACTAAGAAAGCAAAGCAGTTTGATCCTTCAGTTCCAGACTTCTCTCCTAAATGTAAAACCCTTGCAGAGGATGATTTAAGAGCAGAAGCTAACTGTAATTGCTCCTCTGGGAGAAAGCTTGCTTTCTTCACAGACTATAAAGAAGGCCTATGGAAAGCCTTCTAAAGTGCGAGTTGGCAAAACTACCTCCGGATTTGTCCTTTTCATCTCTGTCCTAGAAGGGAAGCACAGCCCTCTTCTGATTTGTTCAGTCTCCCATCAAAGAGCAATGGAAATGAAAGAAAAACGTGGAGAAAAAGTACCAACTCACAACCTGCCCAGACCCTGGTTCGTTTCCTTTATGGCACAGCAAGCTGGAAAACGTAAAGCAGCTCTCCGTAGTGGGGATTCTCAAGAAATGCAGGAGGCTTTACGAAGTCAAAGTGACCTTGTTTTCATATTGGAAAATGCCGATGTTCACTACATAAATTCTGAAAGTATGAAGTGAAGAGAAATTCAATGGACCTATGTGCAAGTTACAGTGATATGTGAGCCTAAAGGGTTAAGGGTATCTTTAAGAGAAGTCCAGGGTTTAACCCAGGTCCAAGCTGAAATTTCCTCTTGTGTATGGGGTCTGTTGACTGGCCCTCAAAACACAGCAACTTCACCCAGAGTGGATAAATGCGGACTGTCTCATAGGATAACCACTGAAACTTCTAAATATGCATTGCACGGGAATGTTATTAATTCTATTCAAGTAGTGCTCATGATTTAGGAATTTCATACACTATACAATATTCCTAACATACAGAGGGCATACCATTCCCACAGAAAAAGCAGCAAACTAGGACAATAAAACAAAATCAAGAAACAGTGGAAGATAATACAAGTTACAGAAAGAAATAATGTGGTTATCCAGGTATTTTGATGTCTACACCTAAGATAGTCACTATGAACTTTCCTAAAGAAAAATGGGTATTTCCAGACATGGTGCATCTCAGCTACGTTAGACATGTACCCTAAGAGGAAACGAATCTTGTTCTAGGAGTGCCTATTTTTCTCTGTTGACTACAGAGAGCATATAAACAATTGCATCAGATGCAGAAATTTGCATTGTTGACATCTATATTTGGTGTCATCCATCCCACTCAAGGTTCTTGATCTAGTCCTAGTTTGCCTTACATAGTTCATCCCTGATCGTTACACAGGCAAATTATGTTTATCAGCATTCACTGTGCTGTGACATACTGAAGCTCAGGTTGAGCCACTTACATTTTTAAGTAGCTTTGCCAGGCCCCAAGTTCAGTTAAATCACACGAGTCAGAGTCATTATGTACTTTGCAATGGTCCTGATTTACCTGTCAGAACCAGCTCCATTAAATCCAGCTCGGTTACAGAGAGGTGAAAGAAAAAGATGGGAGAAGACAAACAAGTCCTACTACTCTCTGAAGTGTTTGGATGTTGCTAAGTATGAGTTAATCTCAACTACAGATCTGGAGAAGAAATGAACAGAAATCCATTGAGTGTACCGGGAAGGGAAAAATGTTGAAAGTGTCCGGCTTAAAAGGAAGTTAAAATACTACAAATACCTTGTGAAAATAAACATCTTTCCTGCACTTAAAATAAGAACAGATATATCATTAAGGACATGAATTTAAATGCTTTGTAGTTGACACTTTAAAACATTAATCTACAGTGTTCTGACCTGAATTCATCCTTGTGAAAAAGCTGAGATTGCTGAAACTATTTCAGTTACAACAAAGTGCAGAAGTGAATTTCCACCATGCTTTGATATTAAAGCTAGCTCTCAGCTGTGTTGCATGACACCTTCTTCATATATTTAACAGTAAAAGAATAGTTAAATTTTTGGTAATTAGAGCAATACTAAGTAAGGAGTTCACAACACAAACAATCTGAGTGTCTTGACCCTGATGAATTAGGAACTGTGGAAATGTGAAACACATTTCAAAGTCATGGGTATTTGCCTGGTAGCTTCACCAAGTGTTGGATTAGATTATTAAACACCTTAACTTCCTGAAGTTTGCAGTCAGTGGGATCATCATATATTAAAAATAATTGCTGTGTGTTGATTTCCCCATTTTATTCTGTCTCTCTTGGTGTTTGTAAAGATCCCTATCCTGACCACTTCCATTAAAGTTGCCTGATACAGGCGTTGCAAATGGTCTTTTCCATGGATTGTCCCAGAAGCTTGGATGGGCAGCCCAGGGCAGAAGGTGGCCAGGCACACCTGCTCCTCTTTTGAACTTCTCCCTTACAGTAAACATGAAAGTTTATTCAGGCACTTCAGGAGTGGAATGACTACAGCCCTCAGTTCCTTGAGCCTCCATTAGAAGGAGGGAGACAATACTAAGAGACAGTCCCAAGAAATCCCATTCCAAATCCATCCTGTCCAACATTTCAATCTGTAGCTACAGTCTGGAGGGAGCACATAGAATTGCCTCCTGATCCCAGGCCCTGGCAAAAGCCTCGACAGCCTCTGTTGGGATGTCTGAGAGCTCGTTCTTACCTGTGAGCTGATAGGGACTCCCTGGTCCAGAAGAGCTTCCTGGTGAGTTGGGGTAGCTGATGCTGTTGGGCGACTGGGAGAACATGTGGCTGGGTGATGATGGAAAAGGGGTGCATGGGGGATGCTGGAAAGAATCAGGGTAGGTGGCATTGTGTGGCATCAGAGGCTCGCTGTGCAGAGAAGTATTTCGAAACTTGGCAAGGAGGCTGAGGTGAGGGTTAAACTCGCTGTGTCTTGGAACGAGTACAGGAGGTAGGACTGAAAATAAAAACAAGAATGGAGAAAAATCGATTTAAACTGCACTCCTGAGAGTATCTCTCTTCGTAAGTCAAAAAGAGCTATATTCCATGCTACCCAAATATTGCTGTCTATATACAAGTCACTGAACGGCAACAAACCTGTCCAAAAACAAGAATCAAAACATGATTTGGGACCCTTTTTCCCAGATTTGCAGCCAGCTTCTGCATTTCCATGTGAAGAATATGGACTCATTCCTGACTTAAGCAAGGTACCATAAAATTCACATGTACAGCATGGGCACACAGCCCTCTTACAGAAATGCAACAGACACATTCCTCCGTCTCGAAATTACTTTTCCTTCCTGAAAGGATGACAGTATCAGGGGTTTGCTTAATATTATAATCAGATTTTGCCAAAATCAGAGCCAAGTTTAATATCAATTAATAGCAGTCTGCAATACACGGCATTATTTTACCACCAGATTGGCAAAAAAAAAAAAAAAAGCACAGACCAGAAGCTGGAGACTAGATTTAAAAGGTTTTCAGGTACCTGAAAATGCTGCCAGCCAGACAGTGGGATCTTTAAAATGAAATGTAAATGGCAATTGAAATATTGCAGTAATATTAATCTATCTCTTGCAATATAGTTAGAAAAGATCTAGCATGAGGAGACAAATGTCAATGATTGATAATTGGGACGTGAAAAATGCAGGTCAGAAAACTGAAAGCCAAATTCATCTGTGTAAAATAGAAAAATAATAGAAATTATGCTTCTAATAGAAGAAAGCATCTCTCCTCACTAAATCTTTTCATTTGGATCTTACACTGTGCTGTAATATTGCAGCACTGTGAAAGCCAAAGTTCACCTGAATGATTTTGGATTTTGGATTCTGACAGATCAGGAGTAAAAGCAGAACTGGAGCCAAAACACTTTTAGAAACCCTCCTAGGTGACCTACCTACAAGATGTAGCCCTGAGGCTGGAACGCAAGGAAGCTTGCTAAGTATTTCTGTACATGGGAGTTCAGCTTTGGGCTTTAACTGGGTCCCTCTGTAGTCCCTGCAGGAGGGGGTAATAGCACCTATAACGTACCACAAGACTTCTCTTTTAGTCACTAGCTCATTCAGCACCTAATTGCCTTTGTTAAGGCCTTAAACACAGGCAGGGGAAATGAATCTCCAAGATCTAAAAGCAAGAACAGAAGATAGGGAGGCAATTTGGGTTCTTGTGACAAGGATGAATTGTCCCAACAACGGGAACAATCCTGCAGGCTTGTATCGATTGACCTGGTGTTGAGTTCCTCTGGCCTAAAACCCAGCCTCACATAATCTTTCAGTCCATCCTTACCGGCTTACGGAAACAAACAGCAACGGGCACCCTTGGTTGTAAATGCTGACACAAATATATTGTCTGAACGTGTTTAAACATATTGTTTGGGCCCAAGAGCTCCGTCTAGGTAAGGCCAATTCTTTTTAGGTAGGTTAGCTAGCACCTTTAATTACAGCGAACTCTCGTTTATCCAGTGTAATGAAAGAGAGGAGTAATTGCTATAAAGCAACCAGAGAGATAATGCAAAACATGTGCATGAGAAGAGGCTGCAGGAACACCCTCCTTGGGAGATGAGCACCCACTGCTTGCAGGGAGAGCTGGGGCTGTTTTGGTAGGAGGAGCTGTGCCTGGTCCCAGCAGCAGCTCAGGTCCCTGCTCGGGCTGGGCCAGGGTTAAGCCACGCTCCTGCCCAACCACTGGCATGTGCCATCGGAGAATTTGACAGTCACCTGTGAAGTGAAGCACTGAGCACTAAAAACTTAAAAAAAAAAAATGGAGTGATGGCAGGGGTTCACTGTAGAAGTTAACTTCTTACCCGCCAGAACTCCGGGGATGCCTCCACACCCAGCAGAGGTGCTGAGCAGTGCTGGCACCTCCACGCGGGTACCGCTGCTGGGGAAGCTGCTTTCCTCAGCCCTGTGAGAACTCAGAGCAGATCCTTTTCTAAATGAGGGCTGAGAATGGAGATGTGTGAACAGCACTTGCCAGGGAAAGCCATTGACTCGCCCTGAGTGAGTCAGCAAGAGGAATTTTCAGGCCTTGAACTCATTCCCAGCTCTGACCAGGGCACTCTTCATTTCTGCTCCTCCTCTGTACAGTTTTTGCCACCTCACTCAATCTTTCCACTGACTGCTCTGTGGCTGCCTAGAGGGCTGAAGCCTCTGTGGTGGTGAGGAATTCAGAGATTTTTTTTTGTTTGTTTGTGGCTTTAAAAAAAAAATCCCCTGAGGGCCTTGTTCTCCGTGTTCCTTTGGTAACGGAGGTCGCCCTCCAAGGCTCAGCCATTCTGAAGGAATTGTGACCAAAGGCATGAGACTGAGTGCATCAGGGTCAGTCTGTCCTGCATTTTACCTGCAAGTTACCTGCATTTTGCTACTCAGTGGGGTCTTTTTCTTCTACCTGCTATTCAGAGCCAAGATCCTTCCTTCTGTGTATCCCTAAGTGTTCACAGACCATAGAATCACTTTAGAATGGTTTGGGTTGGAAGAGACCTTAAAGCCCACCCAGTCCCAACCCCCTGCCATGGGCAGGGACACCTCCCACCAGACCAGGTTGCCCAAAGCCCCATCCAGCCTGGCCTTGAGCACCTCCAGGGATGGGGCATCCACAGCTTCTCTGGGCAAAGAGAATCTTTTGACAACCTTTGTTCAACTGAAGGCAAACACAGGCATGTCCCAAGTCCTGCCACCACTGCCTCTCCTGCTCTAGGCTCTCTCCTGTTCTCCTCAGCTGCAACAATTCTTGCTAGAAACCTGGCTGGGACTGTGGTTATTGAGCCTGTGACCTCAGGTGCTAGCAAGCAAGCTGTCTGCCTCACTATTTAATTCCAGATACAACATCCGTGCTACTGCTTCTGACACATCAGCCCATCTCTGCAGAGTCCACTACCTTCAGAGGTCCATCCTCTGGTGAGACCCACATGTTCCACCTGTTCACTATGCCCAGGACCATTGACAAACATCAGACACATGGCCAACAGTAAGACCATCAGGTGGTCTTCTAACTGGGAAGATACCACACTGCAGTCCTACAGGGGGCTGATGAAAGCTATCAGTTGGTCTAAGTTCACTTTGGCTCCTGCTATCTACAGCCACAGTGCACATCAATGATCTCATATAAAAATAAGGTGAGTGTTTAGGTGGCTTTGTATTTTTCCAGAAATGCAGCTTCTACTGAAAATGAAACATCCAGACTTATGACAAGCCCTTCAAGAGGGAATCTAACCAAGGGAGTCAAACCATCATGCCTACCTCCTTTAGGCTAGGTGGCCTAACCCCTACCTGCACTGTGATGTTGCACAAATGGAGGAAATCTTTTTTTGTTTCTTTCCTAAACGGCACCTGTGGTCAGCAGACCTGCAAGGGGGAGATCCACTTGAGAACACCTGCAGCAGCAACGAAAGCCACACAACCTGTGCAGCACTGGTCAGCACAGACCGTGACATGGCTGGGCAGCCTGAGGACCAACACTCGCTGGTGAAGGGATCTGCCAGGCCATTTGAGAAGGGACGAGGCTCTCCCATCTTGGACACGACTCACTCATAATGGATAAAAGGTAATGGACCTGGCCACAGAGGGGCTGACTCGGCAAGACAGACTCAGTGATGAAAGTAAGCACCAAAAGGACAGACACTGGTATGGAAGTAATATGGAAGAGCCTAGATGTGGAAGATTTCCTGTAGGAAAAAAAAATAGGACTGTTGTTTGAGCGGACTGGCACCTAGATCAATCACTCCCAGCCTTTTTTGTGGCGATCTCAATGCTTCAACTTCCCCACCAAGCTCATTTCTTTTCTTCCCTCACCCCCCATTTGCAGCACTGCTTTCCGACTGGCCCCGAGCTGCGTTACTGCCACTGGCAGTGCTGTAAGCTGTTTCTCTTTCCCCCCCCAACACAAAGTGGTCACGTCAAAGGTGTCCAAAAGTTTTTGTGTGGGCCAATGCCAGCCAGCACAGGTCATGGCTGTGCTGGGGAGCATGCAGGCATTTCAGCAATACTACAGCCATGTTCCACGTACTAGTGCAGACACAGCCAGTCTGTTTCACTGGCTTAATGGTAGGGACATATTCACAGCTGAAACCTTTTGTGTATCAGCCTTGTAAGCCATTTAGCAGCTGCTGGGTCATCCCAGCACTGTTTCTTGTCGGTGAGCACTGACCAGATCAGAAGATGGGGGTTTAAAACAGCCCCGTGCAGAGCTGTCAGCCATGGCGCTGAGGAGACTCCATTAGCTACGCGGGAGTTACACCAGAAGAAATGAGAAGGCACTGGAGACTGCAGCTTTCAAGGAGAAAGATACACAACATGGGATATTTTATGAGCATCTTTTCTTAGTTTCTCGAAGAGTTTACGTTAGCAAGGCAGAAGATCAGCTCTTTCCACTGAAAACTGTTGACAACGTGCACCACTCCCCGCAGCTGTAAAATTTTAGTCGTGACAATGTTTACAGCAGCTCAGATACAACTTCAACATGACAGCTCTGCTGCAGTGGGTGGACTATCAGGAAGGGGAACAGCCCCTGTTTAACAAATGTTAACAAATGTCTCTCCCTTATTTCATCTGTGTGAAAAGAAACATCCCACAGTTCACTTATCTGATCCTAATGTCACCTCAGAGTAAAGTTCATGCCAGACAAAGAGTAATCACAGAATAATAAGTATACACTTACCAACCGTATCCATTAGTAAATTGAATTACTGCGATTTTTTGGCAGCAAGGGAGAGCTAGGTTAGACATTAGAAATCATTTTGAACTGCAAGGAGAGCAAAGCAATAGATTCTTTTGCCTGGGGAGGTTGTGGAGCCTCTATCGCATGGGATTTTCAGAGCTAATTAGAAAAACATCTGTCAGGAATGTAGCTGGCAATTAGCTTTGTCTTGGGAGTGGGGGGAGAGGGGAACAGGTTGACCGCTCGAGATCTCTACCCTGCTTTCTAAGATGCCTACAGAAGTCAACAGTGAACACTGCAATTTTATAACAGCTGTCTCATTGACACAAAGCCCAACTAAATGACCCTTCAGTCAGGTCAGAAGTTTTCAACGCTGACCAAGTCCAGTCTACACAGGATCATCGGTGGAAAAAAAATAATAAAGTTTTATGAGAACTTGGGGGATTTATTCCACATAAACTACCCACTGAGGCCATTAAATCCCACTGAAAGCATACCATCAGGCATTTTAAGAGGAGTCAACTGAGCTAGTTTCACAACCATGGCAAAACAAGCCATCTTACTGCAACTCTAATCTTTACAGAGAGCTATACCTTTTTCCTTTGGATCAATGAGACGATTTTTGGTTTTCAGACAATGAGGCATAAACCCAGCCAAGGTGGTAAGACCAGGCTGGTGCCCAGCCTTCATGCACATGGGCAGAGCAGTGACCTTGGTCTATAGGGAGAGGGTCTATAGGATGACCAGCACCCACATCCAAGAGAGGAACCTCGCTTTCAGCACCCTGGACAAGATCCTTCAGGGGTCCAAGGACACGTGGACCCCTGCCAGGAGCTCCTCATTGCACATGGCCATGACTGTGATGCCCCTGGGCAGGAAAAGAGCCAGGGTCCTTCACCATCAAACAGAGCCTGCCTCTTCAGATCCCAAAGGAGGACTTGTTAGGATGTACCGGGTACAGACCTGCCAGCACAAGAGCTAATGGAGAGATGTGAATCATTTGGAGGTGAAATAATTACCTGGGGTTTCCACCCGCCGGTAATGGTAGGGGTTAATGCACACTTCTTTCTGTTTGGAGCCAAATGGGAACTCGCAACATTCCAGTGGTTTCAATTCATGGTGAGACTGTAAATCAGGCCAGCGCCACACTCTGCAGTATATGACATGGGGCAGCCCCTTGCGGTGAGACACCTGCAGCCGCCCATCCAAGGAACGCGGGATCGTGACACATTTACTGGGCTGACCCGGGCAGCTTAGAGCCCTTTCCAGTTCTTCCATGGCACCCTTTTTCTTCTTTAACTTCTTCACCAAGGAATCAACAGCTTTTTCTGCCCACTTTTCCTCTTCATCTCCTTGTTTCCAGCCCAGCAGCCTTTTCACTGCAGGGCTGGTGAAGGAGAACAAGGAGCTGATAGGGGTGCTGGAGTGCATAAGAAGCAGAGATCACACACCAGTGTCAACGGAAGCACGAATCACTCTCCCGCCTTGCAAGGCTTGCAGAGTTTTTACAGTATTGAGATGGACGCTTCCTTCCAAGAGAGGATTTTGTATTCTCAGGTGCTGGTCACGAGTAGTCCAACAGGGTGGGTCTCAGAACTTCCCAAACATCAAGAAACTGCCGATGAAGCCTGGAATAACAACACAGCACAGAGTTAAGCTTCACACACTCCTTTCATTGTTCCTTCAGCAGCATATTTTGAAAGACAAATGATTCAAAATGTGCATTTAATTTTCAATCATTTTCTGCTTTTTTGTTTGTTTGTTTTGCTTTTGTTTGGTGGTGTTTATTTTGGGTCCAAGTCTCTCCTCCCCACTATCCTCCACACTCATTTTACAGCTGGACCTCAGAAAGTGTCCAGTCACTTTCACTTGTAGTCAGAGTTGAATGCAATAGGCAAATTGTTGCAGATTGGGGGTGTATTTATTGTGAAAGAAAATGTAGTGTTTTGCTTTTTTTTTTTCTATGCTGGTAGCTGTAGGTTCAGCTCATGCATCTTCTACAAAATTAAATCTGTAATAGCAAATTGTATGGGAGCAACAAGTAGGATATTTTTCTGTATTCAGCTCCTTCTCTGCCCCTCCAATCTCACTCTGCTTGTCAAGAGCTGTACAATATTAACTGTGAAATTCTTTTAAAATTCAACTACTCCCAGATTTCATTTAGTGCCTTGAAAGATCTATCACTATTCTCTAAGCTTATTTACATTGTCTCACTTTGCAAGAGAAAACCTTGTTTGCCCAGCCAGTCTGTTTGGCTGTCTCCAATAATTCAAAGTTTTTTGGATGAAAATCACAGGCTTTTGGACACAGACTGTACTGGATGGATCCTGGGTTGTTTCTGCTAGGAGCTGCTACTCTGACAAAGTCCAACAGAAAGAGTTTAGTTCTTGAGGGCTTTTCTTTGTTTTTATTTTACTTTTTTTTTTTTTCTTTTCTTAATGTAGCTGGAGCCAGTCTAATTTTAGCTGAAAATGACATATTTCCACTGACTGGAACTCTGAGGAAAAACGTCCTTGTATGTCAAGCTATTTACTGCTTTAAATATAGTCCATGGACCCCCTGTGCATACCAAGTCCAAAGGACTGCACAAAGCACTTAAAACGGGAGATGGAGGCAGCTGGTGAGTGGATGCCTCCGGAGCAGCAGCTCCGTGACCACCCTGTGGGAAGAGCAGGTCCTTCTCACCCCCACGCAGCCTCCGAGGAGACAGAGAGATGCTGCCTGGTGGTGGCAGCAGCAGGGCTTCCCAAACCGTGTTATTCTGCAGTATTCCTAAATTCACAGCGGTTAGAATGAGTTCAAAGGGCGCTTGGGGACACCAGTCAGGAGGCCAGTCCCAAAGCCTGGTTCCTGAGCAGGGTCTGACACCTCCAGCACCACCCAACCCTGCAGCACGCTCTGGAGGTCAAGGAGCACGCGGACAACGCTCTCAGCCACGTGGTTTAATATTGGGGTGGTCCTGCGTGGAGCAAGGAGTGGGACTCGATGGCCCTTGTGGGTCCCAAAGGACAGAGAGCATGAAGGAGCCTCCCTGGCATGTCACAAGCTCCAGCAGTGGCTGCTGCTCCACCAGGAGGTCCATACTCCAAGCACCAGGGGACAGGAGGTAGCGTGAAAATAGGGACAGAACAACTACAGAACTGGAATGGAGAGGAAACCCACCTTGCTTCACATGCCTACCACAGAATTAGGGTCAGGGTTGTGCAATTTCTTTATTTTTATTCTGTGTATGAGTCTGATTGTCATTAGACATTGAGAGAGGCTCTTGGTAGAGTACGGCAACAAGCACCCCACTTGCACCATTCAATAATCAATAAGCAGCCCCACAGAACTGCTCAAACTTAAACTTGGCCCAGCAAGCAAAGAGAAACCTCAGATCCTTGACTTCTCTCTCCCTCTGTATTTGCAAAAATCCTACAACCTGGAGCGTTTAACTGGATCATTGCAATTGCCACTGAATCAGAGCCGAAGTTTATTCCAGACACTTAGAAGGAACAAGTGAGAAAGAAATGAGCTCAGAATGATTTATCCCAGGAAAAAACCCTCGAGCTGTTTGTAAAACATACTGCGGATGAACTTTGGGGCCGGCAGGCCTCGTGGGATCGGGCTCAGCCTGCAGGGCTCCAGCTCCTCCCAGGTGCCTGTCCCTTGCTGCCCATCAGAGCCTGCAGAGAGCCCGCCGGTGGCTGCCAAAGGCTGGGATGGCTGCGGGTCAGCCCTGAGAGCAGCAAGAGAAAGAAAGGAGAGGCTGGGATGAAAGCCTGAGGTACCAGCAGTGGTGCAGGAGGCTCTGCTGGAGGGGAAAAGGGCCGGCTCTTCTTATCTGCGGGGGTCTCCCGGGCGTTAGCGTGTGTCAACAGCTGCCCCGATAAAGTTAAGGCGACGCTGCAATCATCAGAGAGGAAAACATACGTGTTCACGTCGAAGTATTGTCCCGAGCTTTTCTTTTCCATTTTGACCGGGGTTTTAAATAAACACATTAATCTCGTTCGGTCAAATTAAATAACTCAACAGTGACATCAGTATGAGTCTGAGCACTATTGTTGCTAGTGGGAGAGTCGCCAAGGGTATGTGTATAAAAGCAAAAGCAGTGCTTTGCAGCCCATGTGATGCAGTCTCAGATAAGTACGTTGCACAATTTCCTATCGTTCTCCCCCCAGTTTCTCCTAAAATCTTTTTTGCCCCAAATCCGACTGACTTGCAAAATACAAGTGGCATTAAACACATTAAACAGCTTTCAAATAATAGAATTATCAGAGCATCCGAGTTTAATGTTATTAAATTACATAATACTGCATATTATTCAGCATATTTAGCAGCATAAGCCCTGTGTTGCCAGGCTTAGATACCCCATTATGAAATACCTAGGCAGCCACTCCGCTCCAGGGCTGTAAAGATAGAGATGTTAATTCACAATTTCATTTTAATGATCTCTTAGGACAGCAGTTGTTTAAACTGCACGCCTTTTCCACCAGGCAACTTGCCCACCCAACTGGAAACTTCCGATGCTGGAAGGTTTTAGAGCTGTGTTGGACACATTTGCCGTGCTGACGACCCATCTTGCTTCTTGATGCTCACCACTAGAGAACACAGAGGGGTAGGGAAGTGTTACGGTTGTGATCCACATCCCCACCACATGTATCGTGCCCTGGGCCGTACCACAATGGGAGTTCTGGTCTGGTTGCCTTTATCTCCTTCAGCGACAGCATGATGTACTATCGTATGAGTCACGCATCATTCAGGGGACAACTAACACGATTCCTTCTTCTTGGAAGACATGGGAAGCTTTGTCTGGCTGGTCAGAGACTAGTCAAGACCAAACATGGTCAGTCTTCCATGCCCTACGTCTTTACTCCATTGCCAAGTTTAAGCCTAAGGTTTAAAATTTGCTTTATGGGAGAGACAGAAGCCATACTGCATGTAAGCATGGACCAAATCTTTTTGGTTTTGTGGTCTGCAGGAACAGGAAAAGGTGAGACTGGAAACATTTCAGCCCAGCTCACCTGTTCTGTTCCCCCTAAACACAGGGTGCCCTCCTCAGCTACATCTAAGCTAGTAGATTAAACAATGCTGGGGAACATTTATAAGCATGAGAATTTGATTATGTACAGTGTAAATTGTTACCACGGTATCTGAAATGGCTTTGATCTGTGCCAAGCAGCAGTCTCTCACATAATTCTTGTGCACGATTCAGGAGTTAGCAGGGAGCAGGGCTCACTCCTAATAAGAAGTCTGCATAGAGCCACCCTGTTTTGGAGGATGAGACACCTAGTGCATGGAAGCAAGTGTCTCCCTCCCAGTTGGCCTCAAGGCCAAGAACAGTACCAGGCATGTTTAATTTACTAGTTTGGAGACAGCCTTGGGGTAGAATTTACATGGCCACATAAACACGTCCAAATTGTTGCCACTCCTATCTGACCTAGTCACCCTGAAATCCCTGAATACATACGTGAGAAGTACGTGTGGGTACGTGGCACAGAGCTCTCCGCTCTATTTCCACCCAGAAAAAGATCATCAAAACCCAGCACTGCACACAACGAACACTGGGCGAGATGAGTCCCACCTCAGCTATGAATGACTGCTATGGACACAGAGCAGAGGGGACTGGAATACTTCCTCCTGCTCCTAAGCACATTTTTCACCTGGCAGAGCAGAACCAGCCCCTAGGCCCTCAGGTCAACAGGAGAAACGTGTTCCTCCAGGAACTCCTCTACGGTAACTTCCCCTGTGCTGCTGAAGAGCCTGACATGCCACGACCGGAGAGAAGCAGACGAAACACCATCCCTGTGGGCTTGATGTTCCCTGACCCGAGCCGAGCCCTGCTGAAGCCAGTAAGAGGGGCTCCTTCCACAGATCTCAGAAATTGGATGTACCCCCCTCTGTATCTCATGTGGCAGCAAAAAGGATCCACTGTGCCACTAGGATTTGCATCATCCCCCCGCAGAACATCTGCGCAGGTCCCTGTGCTGCCGAAGTTCCCTGCTAATTCAATTTCAGTGGGCGTAGTGGATCAGTCCTCGTTAAATTTCGCTTCAAGCTCTATGCAAGAAGTCGAAGAGGAGTGCTGCACGGATGCTGGTGGAAACAGGCTTAAAACACAACACCAGCACGGTGCCCAGGCCATCCTCAAAAGCATATCCGTGCATGTGCACGTCTGTGCAGATGTGGGCTTGCAGCTGGTGCCAGAATCGAACTCCGAGGCTCGGCCCTGCCTCGGCTAAGTGAGCTGTGAGAGGCACGGCTATCAGTCTCGAAAATGGCTGACATCACCAGGCTCGGTGTCACTGCCACAGCTCAGCCAGGCCACAGAGGGAGATCTCTCAGAGGGTCGTCTAGACAGAAGCTGCACAGTTCTTGGAGATTGCACGCGGCTGGAAAACGGAACAGCGAGACAATTATAGCTGGAAGTCTGCAGCTCGGTGACTAAATCACAACAGAATTGGACGGGAGAATATTATTTCAGTCGAACAATGTAAGAAGGAATGCTGTGAACACGCACGCGGTTGGTTATTTTTACCTAGCAGTGAGCGAGTTACTTCTACCTCCTAGGAAAGGGAAAAGGACGTGAGTTCTCCCAGAGCTGATATTGCTGTAATTGAGACTTGATTTGGTTTCAAATCAATTTAGT